CATGAACTTAATTATCTTCCTCCAAAAGGTCAAGAGGAATGCTAACAGCTCAGACCCCAACCCCCCATCTGCTCTAAGAAAATCAGCTCTTCGAAGTCGAGAGCCTAGTGATTCCATTTCGCAAGAACAGGTCAATCCACAGTCCAATTCTCAAGAATTACTTCCTCTGTTGTGCTTGATAAAATGTTTAAAGAAAAACAAAAACAAATCCAGGACATCCCATGGAATTCCCAGTTTGATTTGGTTAAGACTAACTTTGCATAGCATCTTGGATACATAATCCAACAGCACAATAAACAATAATTGGATGGTTATTGGGGGGGAGGTGGCCCCAATAATCAAGATCTTCATTGTAGCTCTCAAAGGGCACAATCCAAGGAGGAGTCTCCTGAGAGGAGGCCTTTCCAACCAAATCTTGGCCACAATAATGAAAGATATGGCCCACAGAGAGAGTGAACGCAGCCTTTGGGACGCCTTCCAAGGCCCAAAGTAAGGTGCTCTGGACGTGAGAAGCTCTTTCTTGACTTTATAAGGTCACAGAACACACTCCCACAGTCAAAATGTCAGGGAAATGGCACAGGAGACCACACATGCTGGAGATAGATTACAACAGCTGTCTTCTCAAAAGGCCAATTGAAAGTCTACTGAGTGAGAAGGACTGCATGAAGCCCAGCTGATTCACCAGCCTGGGAAGGCTGCTGGTGGGGAGCACCCTGGACCGGGGAGCTCCTGGCTGAAGCACCCATAACGCGGAGCCATCTTATGATTAATCCAAGGGGAATGGGAAACCATTTCACGGGCACAGTTAGCAATAATGCATTTGCATATAGTCCCTAAGATGGTACAGTAACGGCTTGTTAGCTACAGTAATGAAATGCTCCAATATTAAAAAGTTACAGAGCTTAGTGTCTTGGGCAGTCATTCTCTGGCATTTCTCTGTAATGTAACGACTTACAGTACAACCAGTATAATCTTTGTTCCTTCACCCCCCATCCCCTAAAAAATTCTGAATGGTCTCCTGCTTCTTTCTTTCCCTAGGGAGGACGGAGATTAATCACCCCCCGGGTCCTGTGAATAGGAAATGGGTTTTAAGGAAAGAGGAAGGGAAAAATGTTCACCCCATGTTTCGAGTCGCTCTAAACAGACCTTTGGGTTTTCTTTCTTAAAAACTGATAGAGCAATTATTTCAGGCTAGACTCTGATTTTAAAGCCCGACCTTAATTCCTCCTCTCCCCCCTCATCTTTCTATAAATGCTTTCTTCTGTTCCCTTGGGCATTCCTATTGCTAAGCAGCATGAGGTTAGGAATGATGGATGAGACCCAGAACGGAAGGCAAACAAAAGGAAGGCTCAGACAATCCCCCAGGAACACCTGCAGCTGCGTCTCCCGACGAGGTTTTCCACGTTAGCTCACAAGACCACCCCGGACACAAACTGAACCACCACCTCCCCTTTGGGGTGCCAAAAAGCCCCAGGGACTTCTAACGCCGCAGGCATAACAATGTGGTCCCCCGATAAAACAGAGAACAGAAAGAAACAAACCCACTAACCCCCAAAACATTCTCGCTGGAGATGACCAGGAAGCGCACCGGGGAGGGAGTAAGCGTCTCATGCGCCCGGCGCTTCCTGGGAGCGTTCACAAATACGATGTCATCTGATCGTCACAACAACCCTGCCAGCTAAGTGCTGTTGTGAGCCCCATTTTACAGACGAGGAAACTGAGGCAAGCAGCGGTGGAGTGCCTGGCCGGCAGGAGTCGGCCAGGCTGCCACCTTAACAGCATCCATATTTCCTTCCTAGTCCTGCAATGTCGGGCAAGTCGTGTAAGCCTTCAACAGACAAACCGTCACAAAGGGCTGACAAATGGAGGGGGCAGAGACAGGAGCACATCTTGGAAAAGCCAAGGTGATCTCCTATTTCGGGCAAGGCCTCCTCGGTTAAGTGGCGCCTTATCACCATGGCAACAAAGCACAGCCAATCCAATTAGGCAAAATGCCACTTCTGTTAGGTGGGCATGAAACCACCTCCAAGGGGCTTGGCATTTGGTGAAAAATCCTCGTTTGTGCAGAAGACCGATGGTCCTTTCTGAGGCCGGGGGTCGGACAAGCGTCCTGACTTTCTCCTTTCTTGCCCAGGTCAGAGAGCAGAGTGTGGCGATGCCTGCCCTTAGGGAAACCGGGCCCGGGTTGGACACTGTGGCTTTCCAGGTGCGTGGAGGTCAGCTGTCCTCTAAGGCTGAGCAGAGTAAAATGTCCACCAATGGCTGGATGGCAACCTACGGGAGCCCCGGGATCACGTGGAGGAAGAAGGTCTCGTGCTGGGCCAAGGGGGCATCCTAGGCCTGGCTTCCACCACCTACCCACCCCAGGATTTAAGTCGGGGCCTTCGTTTGCCCAAGCACGTCAGAAAAGGCTGTGGGTGGTGAAATGGATGGGACCGAAGTCAGGAAACCTCAAGCCCAAATGCAGCCTCAAAGATTTACTACTGGGGCAGCCAGGTGGCACAATGGCTAACGCTCCAGCCTTGGAGTCAGGAGGACCTGAATTCAAATCCAGCCTCAGACACATGACACTTGCTAGCTGTGTGACCCTGAGCAGCAAGTCACTTAACCCCAACTGCCTCACTGAAAAGCAAAGCAAAAAAAAAAAAGGCCAACTCTTGCATGACCTTGGGCAAGTCCCCTGACCTCTCTGTGCCTCAGTTTCCTCATCTGCAAAATGAGGCAGGATTAGACTTGATGGCCCTCAAGGTCCTTTCTAGCCCTAGACCTAACCCACTTTAATTATCTCCACCCTGGGCTACAGAAAGGACTTCCCAGGCTAGGCAGCCAGGCAGCTCACAGCCCGTCTCGCCTCTCACTTGGATGACCAGGGGGCAAAGTCTTCCTGCCACCTTTTGTTAAAAAAAGAAAAAAAAAGAAAAGAAAAACAAGCCCCCTCAGAAATTACAGTGTGGGTGATAATGATGCTAAATCTCATTCCGTTCTTCTCTCCTCAGCGCCTCCCTAAACGTTTTAAATGACTTTCCTTTAAACAAATGTTATTATTTACATTCCTCCGTGGAGCCTTGCTTGTTTTCAGGTTAGAAATGTGACCGCCGTGTTGGGCCAATGCTGCGGCACCGCAGCAATTACACGCTATAATCAGAAGGGTAAACAAATTCCTCCGGGATCTGGCACGCACACCACCCGAGAGGGGGCTCCGTCGGGGAGAACAAGCCCAGAACGGCAAAGACAGGTGACTGTTCCCTCTAGGAACACGGGCTCTGGATGCGCAAGATTTCAGCTCGCCACGGCCCCCCCCCCAATGCCTGGCTGGCCTGACCCTGACATCTGGCAACCAATGGAGACAAAAAGCTCCTAGACACCAACTTTTGAACCAGAAAAACACGCACATCTATTTTCTTGGGCAATCATCTGCAGAGTTCGGCTTGCTTCGCGGTTCCTCCTTCGATTCCTAATGAAACTGTCCACCCCAGAAATGGATCCAAGAGGCAGCACAGCCAGCCCCTCCCTCAAAGGGAAAGCAGCTTACCTAAGTCTGACATCCTCCCCCTTCCAGACTCTGGCCTGGACCAGGCAGGCATGTGACACACAGACACACACACACACACACACACACACACACACACACACCCCTCACCAAGAGAAAAACCCCAACGCGACTGAGGCCTCTTGGCTGCATCTGTGCGTGGGCTGGGGCTGGGAGCTTTCAGCAGGAGCCCCAGCTGTGCCCCGAATGGTATGTGCTCCCTTATCTCCCAAACCTTCCCCAAGCTGCCGGATCCAGGCTCTTTGCTTAGCTCTGCCTGTGATCTCAATGAAGCAGTGGATGGGGAAGCTGATTGGTCAACATGTTTAGAAAAATAACTAAACCAGGGAAGAATTTAAGATGCTCAGTATTCTCCTACAGCATAAACAGGGGCTTCAGACAGGGTCTCAGATGAAGAGAGTGCTGAAGGAAAAACATCTCCCATGGAGGACCACGCATGGAAGCTACCCCTGCAGCCAGGCGCCCCACACATAAGCTCTCCCACAACAAGAATTCTCCTGCAAGCTGCCAGGTTGGTTGTTTTTAAGTGCTATTAACTATATTCAATATAATCAGCATAATTTTCTTTGTAATCTTGCGCATTTCATTTCATGCATTTAAAAACAGTGTTCTGAGAAGGGATCCCTGAGCTTTACCAGACTGACGACCAAAGAGGGCCAGGACACATACAGTGGGTAAGTGCTCTTGGAGAAGAGGATCTTCTATGAGTGGATGTGGCTACTTTTCTGCCCTCTTGCCCCTTCCATAATAAAAAGAAGAAAGGAAAGAACAACAAAAGGAAAGAAATGGAAGAACAAAAGAGAAAGGGAAGAGGAGAAAGAGAAAGAGAAGGAAGGAAGGAAGAAAGAAAAAGGGAAAAAGAACAAGAGAAAAAGAAAGAGAAGAAAAGGAGAGAAGAAAGGAAGGGAAGGAGGGAAAAAAGGGAGAAAGAACAAAAGAGAAAGAAAGGGAAAATGAGAAAACGGAAAGAAAGAAAGGGAGGTAGAGAGGAAAAAGAGAGGGAGGAAGGAAGGGAAGAAAGAAAGAAAAGGAGGGAAAGAAGAAAAAGAGAGAAAGAATAAAAGAGAGAAAAAAGAGAAAGGGAAGGAAGGAAAGAAAGGAGGGGAAGGAAGGAGGGAGGAAGAAAAAGGGAGAAAGAATAAAAGAGAAAGGGAAAGAGAAAAAGAGAAAGAAAAAGGAAAGGAAAAAAGGAAGGGAGGGAAGGAAGGAAAAAAAGGGGAAAAGAGAAAGAAAAAGGAAAGAAAGAAAGGAAGGGAAGGAGGAAAGGAGAGGAGTACCATGAGGAATTTGGCTTGCTAATTACACAGCCTAGAATAGCACCTTCTGGTTTCACCTCAGAGCTCTTCCCACCCAACGAAAGCCTTGCTGGGCAGACCAGAAGGCAGAGAAGCCCCATCACAGCAAAGGCACATTTCCCATCCAAGCCAAGAGAAAGCAGCGAATGAGTTACCTGAGCTCACACAGCCCTGCTGGAGGGAGTCCTGCAATGACGTCACGGAGTGGAGGACTGGAGCAGAAAAGGGGACAAAAGGAGGGAAGAAGAGTTAACTGAGGAGAGATCAAAGGTGCTGTCTCCTCTCGTCCCTGGTCTAAGATCCGGAGCAGACCCTGATGCCATGAGTCTGACCTCACACGGGGCAATGAAGGCCCTAGGGGAGTGCCCTCACCAGGCATTGAAGGGGGACCTGTACATGCGACCCATCGCCTGTGCTGACAAAGCCTGAGCGTCCCTCTGAACATGCAACGTTCCATTTCCCAGGACGACCTGACGGTTATTTCCCTTTCACGTTTTTTCTAATTCTCCATCTCAGTTCCTTGATTTTTGTACTATATTTACGCATAAACAGCAATTTCTTAATTGGTAACTCATTTGCTGCTTGCAGATTTAGCAGAGCATAAGCCTTCCTTTCATGACACCCAAGGTGGCCCCATAGCAACAGGTTGTGAAAGCAAGGTGGGCCCCACCTACCCACTGGTGCCTCCCCATCTCCCCGCCGCCCCTCCTGAGTACCAGCGTGGCGGAATGTTAGTCACCTTGTCCGGCTGGCTGCCCTTGCACAGGCAGGACGCACTGGCCCAGCTCGCCGTTGAGCCACAGCTGCATCCGAATAAAGGGTTCCCGGCCCTTCTGGGTCAGTTTACTCCACGGCTTCGGCCTTGACAGCATGTCGCTGACACTGCCCTGTGAGAGGCCCAAAACCTTGAGTGACAACCAGAAAACACGGATGTCAGCGAGGGGTTAGAGACGCTGCTCATCATCGATGATGACCTCCCTGGGAGTCATGGGGCCCTCATACCCAGCTCAGCGGCCCTCACTTCTCCTGTCCGTAAAAGGAGGGGGTGACCTCGCTGGCCTCTGAGGTCCCTTCCAGCGCTAAATGACCCTGGACTCTGGGTCCACTCAGGTCCCAGGCGTGCAGGGGCCGGGGAAGGTGCCAAGACTTTGGAGCCCCTATTTTCACCCATGCCAGAAGAGAATGATGCGATGGGCGTTTCCGGAGCTCAGGCTGAGCGATGGAAGGGAGATTGAGTGGTCAGAGAGGAGGGGAGGGGGCTCTTAGCTTTTCCTGATGCTAAAGTTACAGTGAAAACACCTGTGTGCCTGATGTTGGGGTGCATGGGGGACGCCGGGCAAGCCAGCTCCAATGACCATGGTGATGGAGAGCCAATCACAGCATGTCCACTGGGCACAAGGCGGATTAGGCCATGCCTATTAACAGCTGCAGCTTCCTGGTCTGGGATCAGAACTATCATTGGTTTTGTGCTGGTAGTCTGAAGGGGACTGATTTCTTGGCGCAGGGAGCTCCTGGTGAGAAAATGCCCCCTCTTAATGCAAGGGGGCACAGCTCTGTGGCTCTGGACCAGGAGGGCTGCCTTGGTACCTCCCCGGGGTCATGTAGCCAGACGGCGTCGGGGACGGGACTTGAACTCGGGGCTTCCTGACTGGAGGCCCGCTCTCCTTCCCCTACTCCCAGCTCATGCTGCCTCTCTAATAACAGAATCAACGCCACGGGCTTGCGTTTGCTGATCATGCACTGACTGAGCGTTGGGGTCGCCGGTGGGGCCCGCCCAGAAGCGAGCTAGGGAGCCGAAGGGGAAACATTTCCAAGAGTTAATCTACAAATGGAGACACGTCTCCACAATGATGATTAAAAGTCGCAGGGATGTGTAAAATTTGCTTATTTTTACATATGGTCATACATATGTATAGGTATAAACACCCACACACACGTACCCAAATACTCTCCAAACATATTCAAGAGCTCCACTCCCAGGGACCTGATGGGGGTTGGGGGAGTGGAAATGCATTTGAGGACAGCATTTGGAAATCTCTGAGCTCGAGGCAGGAAAGCCAGTGTGGACTTAAATCCCCTTCAATTACTTTCCCAATGGGAAACTAAAAAGCAGGGCTGGCCTGCCCAATACATCCTCGGGGCATCAGTATCAAAATAATTCACTACAAAAATCCACTAGGAACTGATGATGCCAGGGAGGTGGGCTCTGCCAAGGGAATCCTGTCTTTGCCGCCACCTGTATGACCTGTGAAATGACGGGGTGGGATGAGGCGGCCTCGAAAGGTGATCTAACGGGGCAGCTGGGCACAGCAGGGGTTAGGGTGCCAGGCTAGAGGCGGGTAAGCCTGTTTAACCCTGGCCTCAGACACTTGCTGGGCTCAGCCACTGTCTGCCTCAGTCTCCTCCTCTGTAACACGGGGCAGTGGTACTCCTAGGGTCCCTTCAAGCTCCAAATCTATGAGACTATGACCTGGGTTAGAACCTCAGCTGTGTGACCTTGGGCAAGTCTCGTGGCTTCCTGAGCCCTAAGATGGAGTGCTTGGACTAGGGGTCTCTACGGCGCTGACACCTGATGGGCTCCAGGTGAACACACAATTCCCAATGTGTTTGCCTTGGTGGTACCGTCCGCTGTTTCATTTTATTTAAAGCTATTTCCAAAAGAGAAAGATGAATTCTTTGGACTTTACTCATCATATTCTACTTTCCTATTTCTCCAGAATCATGATATGGCAGCTCTGGGGGGCAGAAAAATGCCTTCTTCCCAGCCTGGACACTCCACCCTTCTTTTTTGGGAATGGAGGGCATATTTTATTTTTTAAATAAAACTTTTATTCCTACTCTTTGCCTTACCTGCATTTCTAATGCTTGCTACTTCTATTTCCCACAATTCCTGCTGACTGATTTCCCAAGGGATGCTCCCCTCCCCTTCCCAGACACCCTGTATAATTACAAAAGACTAGCAAAAAACCAAAAATTCAGCAGACCAACCGGCATACCCACAAATCTAATATTATACGAAATGTTCCAAACCCATAATCCTCCCTCTCTGCAAGGAAACAGAGGGAGGGACCTTCTCACACCTCTTCTGTGGGGCCAAGAAAGAATTCAGTTTTGACTGCATTGCTGCGGGGGCCACATTTTAACCTCGACATTTACATCAAAGGGACACATCGTGGGTTACAATGAACTTAGTTAAAATAGGTATATTTTGGTCTATCTTCTCCCCTCTTTCTTAGACCTTGCGCATCTATCTAGACTCCTGATGTCTGTAACGATGACCCTGAAGAACCGTCTGATTCACAAAAGGACAATAACATTTTCTTCAGCCCAATCCTAGCACTGTGAATTGCATTTCAATAGATGATGATTTTTTTTCACGTTCAGACCATTACGGATAAGGAGGAATCTTTCATTCCTTCAACTCCTTTTAAGTCCTTCAATTAAGATAAAAACCCAGGCAGACTGACATTTAGTACGAAACAGTAAATCCTTTACCTTTTCCCCGAAGATTCTTTGACAGATGCCATTCTTGGCCAGCTTCTCTTTGACCTGGCGCGTCAGCTCTATGGTGTCCACCTCCTGGTACATGTAGATCTCGTACTGCTCCGGCGTCAGTGGAGGGACGGAGGGCTTGGATGGCTTGGACAGGGGCACGATGGGGGAGGAGGGAAGAGGGCTGTTCTGGGGCGTCTCGCTGCGGCTGGCTCCCGTCAAGCTCAGCTCCGAGCTCTGGGAGTAGGGCGACTCCGCGCTCGGCCACTCTTTCCAGTACTCAGAAGAAGAGGGTCCTTGGAGTTGGCTGCGGTCTGGCCGGGGCTGGTTACTGCTGCTAGGCTTCTCCTTCCCGCTGCTGCTTTCCTCGCCCTTTATCTCCTCGGGGGGAGCTGCGCTTCTCCTTTCGTGCTGGACAGCGTTCCACCAATGGTCCTTCCAGACGCCGCCCCGGCCCAGCTCGTTTTTAACGTGTCTGAGCACGCCTTGTGCGGCGTCTGTTACCCCGTGAAGCTCTAAGACGGGGGCCTCCTGAGCCTCCTTCTTGAGGCCTGAGAGGTTCTGCAGAGCAGAGATACTGGAATCTGCTGCCGAAGAGTGCTTCTTCAGGGAGATGGCCAAAGGAGAGTAGCTGGACACTGAGGACATCGGTGAGGTGGTGATTATTTTGGGGGATAAGATGGAGATGTCGGCTTGAGACAAGGGCGTTGGCTTTAAGGCAGGGTCGAGGGCTGCTTGCTGGGCCTCCATTTCTCGGCGGGCTTGCTGCAGGATGGAGCGGATGGCATCGTCTGAGTTACCGCTGCTCGAGGCCGAGGATGGCTGGGCTGGCTCTGCTGCGTGGGACAGAGACCGAGAGACAGTGATCGCACCTGCGTCCTGCCCGCCTCCCTCCAGCTGGGCCCGTGAGGAACCAGAGCCGGCCCCAACCCCCAAAACCAAGTCATCTGTGGACACAACACCACTGTCTCTTTTCTATAACCTTGTAAAATTCAGCCAACGCAACCCCTGTTCTCACGGATTGGGTTGTGGTGCTAAAAACAGAATGGTATAGAGGGAAGAAAACTGTCTTTGGAGTCAGAGGACAGGGTTCAAATCCAGCCTCTGATACTGACTCTCTGCATCACCTTGGGCCAGTGACCTCCTCTGGGCTGGATGGCGATCTGCTACCCTGTGCCTGCTGTTTGGTGGCATTCTGTCCTCGGGATTCTCTTTCTATTTGCTTTGTACATACATAAATAGGTGCACACCACCGGACCTGGGAGACTGGTAAGCTCCCGGAGGGCAGCAGCGGCTCCATTTTTGTCTCTGTCCCCCTGGAGCCCAGCACGTGCTGAGGGTCTCATCAATAAGTGGTGACTGACAGAGTCGTCCCGTGTCCACCCGCAAAGCCTGAGCCTGTCGGGCCACGCAGGTTAGAGAGAGGGAGAACGGCTGCTTGCCTTCAGCGGCTGGCCTCTCTTCTTTCCATTTGTCCCACAGGCTGTAGATTCCCGTGTCTGGCACTCACACCGCCAGCTTACAAGGGGACATACATTTTTTTTTATTAAATCCTGAAGCAAAGCCAGTAGCATCCACTGGTAACTTTGGACCGCTTTTTTAAAAGCTCCTGTTTATCACAAGAGCACGGACGACGGTGACCCACCTGTTACTGTGGGAAAGGGAGCTAACCTGAAAGCAGCCAGACGACGTGGGCTCTAGGCCTGGCCCTGCCCAGATACGGGACCTCGGGCAGCAATGTTTCATTCACATCATCACACCCCTGGGTCTGGCACCGTGTTTGGGTCAGAGCAGGCATTTAAGAACTGCTGACTGAAGCCAGTTCACCTCTCATCTTGTTTCCTCAGCTGTACAGTGAAGGCGGATTTGTCAAATACAATACTGTGCATGACCCTGATTTCCAGGTATCCTTTTTTAGGGACAGGTAATCATGAGATGTTACACCCAGGCTTTCTGTCCCAGGAACAATGTGGCTGATGGGTCATGACCAGCCTAATAAACCCTCTTCTCCTTCTGGGCAAAGGATCAAGGAAGAAGAATATCCATCTCCTCAATGGTGGGAGTTTTGCAGCCCAAACTAGGGAACACCTCAAGGCTGATGCTATCGGCTTGCCGGCGCTAGACGGCTCAGTACCATGGGTCTCTCTGGGCAGTGGACAAGTCTCAGCACCTAAGCCAGCTGGGACAAAATGATCTGGGCATGTGACATCTGTGCTCGAAGATTAGGGTTGGAAAACATGGCAGTGATAGTGGCCTAAGGCCTTGTAGGATGGGACAAATGAAAGGGAGCCCTGAAGCAGAGGCAGATGAGGAAACTGAGGCACACAGCTGCGAAGTGACTTGCACTTAAGCATACAGCTAGTGAGTGTCTGAGGGGAGAGTTCTGGAATCCAAGTTCTCCCTTTAAAGCCAAAACATTCTACAGAATGTGCAGCCTGGTCCACCAAACCGTATCAAGACTCAAGACGAGAAAAGCTGAAATGCATTCTTTTCCTTCCTTCTGATTTATCTAAAGCAGAGCTTCTGAACCTGGCATCTGTGAATTTGTTTTTAAAAATATGTGGCTAACTGTATTTCAATATGATGGCTTTCCTTTATAATCCTATGTATACTATTTTATGGGTTTAGGAAGAATGATCCTGAGAAGGGACCTGCGGGGTCACCAGGATGCCACAAGGGTCCTTGATACAAGGAAGGGCGAAGAGGCTCAGCCATGTTTCAAAATCAGAAACCTAATCATAAGCCTTCTCCAAATAAAATTATACTGAGCAGATACTAACTATGTTAGCACCATTTTGCCGCAAGGTCAGTTTTCATTTCCAAGTACCACATCCAAATACCAAGCCCATGTTGTGATCGAGAGAAGCATGGATTCAAAGCATTCACTCCTTCAGGGGTGGTTCCTAAAGTGGGGAGGAAGGATCAGCAAAGGAGCCCAGACAGTGTAGGGAGCAGTCAGACACATGGAAAATGCCACCATTACACGCAGGCCCGAGACAGCCGGGGCAGGAGCTGGGTGAAAGGAGGCCCATTTTAAACCGCAGTAAAGTTTAAGCGAATAAACTGCTCAGTGTGAAAATAATTATTCCATAAAGTCTCCTGCTTAACAAGAAGGCTGTAGGCTACAACTGGGTTTTGGCTCAAAAGCCACCGGAGAGGTGGGAAAAAAACCCGACCCCAAGCCTGGGCAAAATGAGTGCCACCCAGACACCCCCAATGCCCTGGAGCGAGCCCTCCCACAGGGTCGAGGGCTGCTACAGCAGGCCCAGGAGAGCTGCCTGAGCGACGCGTGGCAGCACGGAGGGAAGCCGTCCGTCTGTCTGTCCATCCATACCTGTTTTCTGCACCTGCAGCTCCCTTTTGGCTTGCTCCAGAATTGACTTGATGGCTTCGTCTGAGCCAGTTTCAGTGGTTCGGACCCGAGTTGTGATATTCCCTGTGGAGAGAAACAAGATGGAAGACGTGAAGCCGCCGTCCCTGCAGCAAAGCCAACAGTGAGCGGGGCAGCCACTCTGACAGATGTCCCCTGGAGTTGCAGCTAGCGCCAGGAAGGCCTCTGCAACGAACAGACATCGACCTGCTCTTATTGCTGTGGGAGGCCCATGCCTTGGATTGTGACACCTTGCAGGAAATTGTTCCCGCGCTATCTATTCTAAAAACAAGTATTATTTTGACAAGGAGAGTGGAACTTTGTATTAACTCATGCTGGACAAGTCCCCAGGTGAGGGGGCTCCAGCCTGGAAGAACTTTGCTACATTTTGCAGGAGGATGGAAGAAATCTGTCAATTCACATTTTTTCTTAACAGCAAAAGGTGAGATAGTCTCATTAAAATCATTTAAAAACAACTACCCCAACTGATTTGGCTTGTGATCAAATTCAGACACTGTACATTTATTCAAGGCTGGAATCTAAAATAGAAAACATTTTTAGCAGAGAGCAGAGTTAATTCTGGTTAGTTTTAATCTTCAGGTTGTATAAGGTAAAGAGTCAAGAGATTTAGTTTTGCAGTTTCAAGATCTGTCAACGTGCTTCCCTAGCAATGGAAGGATTTCACTTTCTACTCCTTTTTTATTTTTTTTAAAGTAAGGAAAGAGACCTCTACCAATTCCCAGAGGGAAGAACACAGAGTCCACTAGACTACAGTGATGTGGTGGAAAGCAGCCGAAAACACGCAGCTCAGAGACGGAAACCAGTCTGGGTCATATCTTCTCTGGGGGCGGCCACAGAGGCACAGAGAGTTGCCGGGAACACTGGGAGAACTAACGTGGCATGTGTAAAGTCATCTGGCTAGGATGTGTCAGAGGCAAAACTTCGAACTCAGGCCTTCCAGACTCTGAGGTCAGCTCTCTCTAGCACCCCATGTTGCCCTTTCTGGACTCCAAATCAAGCCATCTAAATACATATTCTGCCGCTAGTGCCAAGACAGGTAAACGCCTCTGTAAAAAGTAGCTCCAAAGAGTGTGGTGACCAAGATTGAGAAACAGCACCCAAATATCTAGGATTTGTCCTACATTATTAACATGGCTTTATATCTCCAGCACCTAATGTGAGGTCAGGCACACAGGAGGTGCTTAATAAATGCCTGGTGATTTTATATACATATACACACATACATAAATATGTGTGATTGTGCGTGTGCACAGGGACTACTTCATTTTTGTCCCCAACACCTAGTACAAGTGCCAGGCACACAATAGGTGCTTAATAAATGTTATTTGATTCATTGATTGTAGCCTCCTATTGAGGCTATTTCATTTTTGCTTTTGTTTCCTTAGCACCTAGCACTCTTCCTGACTGACTGTCCCCCTCTATAGAGTATGAGCTCTTCGAGTTAGGGGCAATTTCATTTTTGTAACCCCAGCACCGAGCCCAGTGCCAGGTATACACTAGATGTTTAATACATGCTTGAATGATATTTCTTTAGATAAAAGCATGAGGAATCAGTGATGCCTGGTTTTGCCCACAAATACCATTTTTCTGCACGTGATATCTCTCGTTTCACCTGCTTGGAGGAGAACAGGAGCCCTGTCGTCTGTGTGTTTTGAGGGGGGCTGGGGGGGGAGACTCCCTGAAATACCCAGCCCTCTGCTTCTCTCTTTTTAGATGTCCACATCTGTATGCTGAAGATAGAGTTGGGGGAATGGTGCGGTCTAACCCATGCGTTGTTTTATACTTACTAGCTCTGTTTTTCCATCAGATTCCAGGCCAGAATCAAACTGCACAGTTTAACAAAAAGACCCCACTAACTAATGAGCGCACGCCGCTGCCGAGGTGAGGGACCGCAAAGACAAACACCTGCCGGTGACATACCTTCAGACCCATTTCTTCGCTTCGGCACTTCCTGAAATAGTCTGTTCAGGTTCTGGCCTGGATTTTCTGTTGAAAAACAAGTGTGGTAAGAACAAAACAATCAGGGGACGGGGGTGGTGACGATATGAGCTGGGATGTGAAAGAGGACAGACTGCCCCTGGATGGAACAATTCAAAGGCTTGGGGCTTTGGACGGAGTCAGGCACTGGGAAGAGGCCCTAAACTGGACTAAGAGAGAATGACCATGGAGGTTTTCAAAAAACAATCTGATAAATACAAGCCTATAAATATATGAAATAAAATGAAGAGGTTTTTACAAAGAAAGAGTCTTCTCAACAGAAAATCACCCCCCCCCCAGCAAACCACCACATTCATCATTTGGAGACATTTAATTTAAAGGAACATTACCATAAAAAAAAAAACACCTCTATATGCTTGCTGCAAATTGAGGCTGTGGAAAAATCCTCCCGCTTTGTTAAAAATCTAAATTTTGTAATCTGTTTCAAATGTCTGACATTTGAATATACCTCTCTCTTGTATTACTGTTTTCTTTCTGAACTATTCTTTTTTACCTAAGAAAGGCCAATCACTTCCTTTCTCTGGGCCTCAGTTTCACTCATTTGTAAAATGAGGAGGTTGGACAAAGAAGGCTCTGAGATCCTTCTGAGCCCTAGATCTGTGAGTCTATCTATGATGCTCTGTACCCGTGTGGCCTTGGATAGGTTACTCGCCCTCCTGGGGCCTGTTTCCTCATTTGTGAAACCAAAGAGCTGCATTAGAACGTCTCAAGACCCTTCCAGCTCTCGATCTGTGGCCCCAGGACCTTCCTTAAGGGAAGGGGCTGACTTAACAAAAGCCCTTTTCTCGGACAGTCCAATGAACACTCTTGGATCCCTGTGGCATGTAAGCGTGGGCCTATTTCCCAATACCGAGGGCTGCTACAAGGTCACGGATATAATAAGACAGCTAGCGCTAGGGAATAACCTCTTTCGAGGATGGGCTGGAGACTAGAATTCTTGGCTGGAACCTTCTCCTTCCATGCTCAGTGCTGTCTCTGAACTCTCCTAAGCCAATGGTCTTTTATTGGACTTGAGGTCGACCCAAGTTAGCTCTTTGCCAGGGTCCAAACTGACCTCTGCTCATTAAACAGGTTGTACGATCTTGCCCTTGAGAGCAGTAACACGTAATAGGGAGCGCAGTGGACGGAATGTCAGGAGACCTAGGTTCAAAAGCTTAGCTCTGACCCTTAGGACCCACTTGACCATGGGTGACTCATGTCAACTCTCTTGATTTCAACTTCCTCCTCGGCCCAATGGCAGTTACGCTACTCGCGTGACCTTATTCCCAGAGTGGTGTTAAGAGGTGTTAAAGGCTTTGTCAGATTGAAAGCACTATCAAAATGTGAGTGGTTACTGGTACTGTTACGGTTAGGATTATGATGATTATTACTGTGATTAGTGCACAAGCCGGGAAGGAGAGGTTTCCAAAGGCTAATGACTTCCTCTGCCTAGGCTAACGACTGGCGGGAGCAGAGAGAGCTGTAACTGATGCTTGATATTAATGTTCTGGCGCCATATTCCCCAAGTGTCCTCCCAACAGGGAAGGGCTCTCACCTCTTTGTCGGCCCTGGATGCTCCGGAGAGCCAAGATGTTCTGCTCGTCCGACAGGAACTGCTTCATCTTGTGGAACGGCTCCTTGCCCCGCACGGTCAGCTTGTTCCACGGCTTTGGCCGGGCCAGGATCTCGCTCACGGATCCTTGCGACAGTCCCAAGACATAATGTCCAAATATCCGCTGTCCAATATTGTGCTTGATCAACTGTTCTTTCACCTGGCGCGCAATCTCGGCTGTGTCCATCTCCTCGCCTTCGGAGACGCTGCCGGCGCTTTCGGACTGGCTGGGAGACGGGGCCAGGCCGTTTACGTCGGGGCTTTGTTGTAATGGACTTTGGGAGGGGATGGAGTTTGTGCTGTATTGACCTGTTGGAAAAATCATGCTTGTGCTTCCGGCTTCCTGCATGGCCTTGGAGTAGAAGGACTGCATTAGCTGTCGCTGGAGGAGAGAGTTTAGTGCAAATTTTCCTGTAGAAGCCAGGGGTAGGCTGGGGCTTGCCAGGGATGAGCTGAAAAAGTCTTGACTTAAACCCGTTGGTGAGAACTGGTGTGTACCATTAGTATTGGAAACCTGCTCCCCTGGGTTGCGGGGCAACTGAGAAGGAGGGGAGGCCGGCAAAGCTCCAGGGCGCGGATTCTCAGGCTGGTCTTTCCCTTTTCTCCTGGCTGACCCTACAAGGAAGGTCAAACATAATGCATTATGGGGGATTAAAAAGGGAAAAACCAAGATCAAAATGCAAAGTTTGCCCCACAAAAGGGAAAGTAGTGCAGATTTTTACAAGGGCCAATGAGGTGTGTTGGTTGGTTGGTTTGTAAATTGAAATTTTAATCAGCCAAACAAGGCCCCCCAAAACAAGCAACATGCATTTTCATGTTTGCACCTTTCTTGTACGTTGCAGCCTGGAGAATCCCCTTTTTACAGAAATTGAAATTCTCAGTGTTACATGAAGCGCGGTACCACACACAGTAAAGAGTCAACAGGGCGCACGCGGCAGGGCCATTATTGGAGCGCTAGCCTTCGAGCTACTCCCCGAGGAACCCTGCCTGACCTGGAGCAGCAAGCACTGACATTTGTGGACCAATGGATTCTCTCAAACACCTGGCTTTGAGGAGGAGGCACTGTGAGATGTCTATCGGAGTGAAGGCACACACATTCTTAAGGAGGCAACATCATCGGACACTTTGAAATGTTTTCCCGACTCCCAGACCAGAAGCACAGCCAGTCCCGAAAAGCTAGGACTCCAACCAGTTACACAAAGAGTTAAAAGAGGCCAAGCGTGGGGGCAGCCTCCCCCCACCCAGAAACGTTGACCAAAGCAAAGAACCTTCCCTGAGACTGGGGAGAGAGGGGGGAGGCGTGGTTACCAGAACACCAAAGAAAACAGGCCGACCTCGATTTTTTGCTCTTGGCAGCAGAGCTAGAAAAGCACTAGTGGAGAAAGCATCCTTTAAATCTCCCTCTTGGTCTACCACCTTGAAATGTCCTCTACAGCAATCTACCACATGTACAGATTCTACTGTGTTCATCCTCTTAGCCATTCTCCCAACAGGGAGGAAGGAGGAAACTGTCTCCCTAGGACCCAAGGACCTTGCAGTCCATTGATCTTTCTGAGGCATTAGCCCAGACTCACGTTTCACTTTCCTCTTCCTAGCATCCCCTGGAAAAGTAACCAAGTGCCAGAATTGAGATCCCATGAACCTACCGCTCAGGTCACTATTGGTAATTCGCAGGGTGGCATTCTCGGACTGCAGAGAGCGGTTCTTCTCCAGCAGTAAGACCTCCAGCGGCTTGGACGCATCCTAGACCCAAGTCAAAACATGCCTTTACTTCCACGACCAATTATGCCATCTGAAGCAGGGGTAAACTGAAGCGTGGGCTAACAAGAAGGGATTTGGTAACGAGAGGAAAATCATGTTTGATCCAGTGATGTGAGGCTGCAGGCCGGGTGGAGTGGGGAGATTTACCCTTGTCTTCTCTTTTGACGGGACAGCTAGGGACTTAAAACTTTCTTATCAAATTCCCAGCTTAATAATAGAATCATAGATTCGGAGTGGAAGCTCCTTGAGGACAGCGATTGTTTCACTTTGGTTTTTGTACCTTCAGAGCCTAGCATGGTGCCTGACCCAAGGCAGGCACTGATTAATAAATGCTTACTGAGTGACTGGCTGGTAAGACTTCATCTGGCCCTACCGGAAACTTGACCAAAGTTACAAAGGTAACAGGTGGCAGGTCTTCAAATCCCCCACCTGGTGTTACACGAACTCAAACTCAGGAAATAGAGAGTTCTAGAATTTTCCCTGGAAGTATGCCGACAAGTTCTCGTTCTTATTTTTAAATTTTAGTTTTAATGAAACCCTGGTGGTCGAAGCTATCTTTTTACTACTAGAGAATTAATTACATCCTTAAAGTTTGTCTTCAACTTCAAACCATCTGAGCACTCAATATGGCTGAGCAACTGGCCATTCAGCTCACAACAAGCCATCAGAAAGTCAAACTCAAAGCAATCCTTTCAGACCCGCCATGCTGGTGGCAGCTCCCTTTGGAATTCCAGGAGAAAGAATCCATTTGATGACTTTCCATCTGCAGCCAGATTAAAATGCATGAACGTCAACATGCTGTTCCTTGGCCTTCCCAACTCAAAGGAACAGGAAGCTCAGATTTCTTTAAATATGGATATTCCCAGCAAATCAATATTAACCTCATTTAAAAAAAAATTGCTGACATTCAATCCGAAATTTTATTCATCTATGTTCTTAGTTAAATTGCAACATAATTTAGTCTGAGCAAGTTTCTAATTCAAAAAACATTAATAACATGTCTCTCTCTCTCTCTTTTTTTCCCTTCTACTTAATTAAAGGCAATTTGTGTTAACAAGGTTAAACATTCAACTGAGCTGCAAGTCGGACCACAGCACCAGTGATCAATTATGTGCCAGTACTTTCCGTAAAGAGAGAAGAGTCTTTGGCTAGTGGGCCTTTTTCTTAGACATTTCTCAACTCTTCAAACATTCATTCTAGCCAAGAGTGAGCAGAAACGGAGAAATGACAGGGGTAATCGGAATGACAAGACAAAGGCAAAATTGGATTCAGTACCTGAGTCCCAGCGCCTTCAGATGGTGCGAATTCCATGGACTTCAGGATGCTGCAAAGGACAAGACAGACAGCTTCAGTTTCTAGTTATTCATTTCATAGCAGCTACACTAATGAGCATTAACATGATCATTTTTGACTCTCCAGGAACACCGTAAGTGACAACTCTAACAACTTTCATAGCAGTAATATAATCTGATAATGAATATAGAATAACTATTCAAACTACTTATTGGACAGAAAAAAATTTCTCAAGTGCCACGTAAATCATTCCATAGGCAATCCTGCCAAGCCATTTGAGAGTATAAATCTACAGGTTAATAAGGAGAAAGCATTTTAAGCTGTCAGAAGCAACATGAATTTATTTGTGAAGCCTGCGGGGAAGGGAAAGTTCTAATGAAGCAGGACGAGAGGGGAGAATAATCATTGAGTCTCACATACAATATGGCGTCTGTACCATGGACCGGCTGAGACACCAATCCAGAGGAAGCCTGCAGAGCGGGGAAGGCACAGACTATTTTCTGACCCCGAAGGCTCAAAGGCAGGACTTCTTCTGCTAGCTTTCTAACCTAAAGAGATGCAGGAGCCTGAAGTGTTCAGGTATTCCCCTCAACAGAGCTAAGAGGGCCAATGACGAACAGGCTAAGAGAATGAACTCTACTCATCTTTGTAGGGGTGAGGTCGGGATGGAGGCAAAGATGGGGCAACGCTTGGGGAGGAGATGGCTGTTCTTCAGCTCTTGAGCTGAGGGAGCTGCCCTGGGGACCGAGAGGTTAATTAACTCGCCCAGGGCCACAGAGTCTGTGCTCCCTACCAATGAGGTGGAGACTTTGGGTCTTCACTTGCAATTTCATTGGTTTAGGAATTTCTGGTGGAGGTGTCTTCTCTAAAGAGGCACACTGGTCCCTGCAAATTACTGTCTCAGAGAGGTGCCTGGGGAAATGAAAGGTGAAGTAACTCATCTGGGCCCAACTCAGGGGTCAGTTTCTGTCCACTCTCCCTCTCTCTCCCAGCCCTTCGGTACTTTGAAATAATTCTCGACCGCCAAGAACACGAGGGCCCTACTTCTTTGTGACAATGGCCCTTTTACGAGGGAGGCTGACTAATTACTGGAGTGAACTGCTGATTTATTTGAGTGTTTTCTAGAGAAGCCCAAAAGCTGAGGGTCATGAGAGTCATTAGCTTTTTTAAGTTTCACTCTTTTCTGTGGAATTTAAATTTCTTTTAATTACTGTACCAGAGAGGGTAGAAAACACCTCCCAACAGTTTTCATGAGATATTTTTTCATGTAAAAATTCTAAAAAAAAAAAAGAGAGTATGTGTGTGTGAGAGAGACAGAGATGCAGAGAAAAGAGAGAAGAAAAAAGAGAGAAGAGGAAGAAAAGAGAGAGAGGAGAGGAGAGGAGAGAAGAGAGAAAAAAGAAAAAACAAGAAGAGAAAAAAAGAGAGACGAGAAGAGGAAGAAGAGTAAAGGAGAGAAGAGAAAGACGAGAGGAAAGGAGAGCAAAGGAGAGGATCCTTTCTCACTCTCTCAACAGGCAGGTGTGCACCAGGGAACCTCAGAGAAGGGCTCCTGGTCAGCTGATGCCGGGCTGGCACAAGGCGATGTGACGTCACAGACACACAACCCCAGGCTTCTGAGCACTTACATTTGGACCCCACCCTGTGGCACCGAAGGCGACATTCACGGAGCGGTAAAAGCGCTACCTCAGAAGGGAAGGGTCTAGAGCCCCTGCACATCCTGGCAGTCAGAAGCAATGCTTCACTCTGAATTTGGGATTCACATATTCTATTTTTAAACCCCTTGCCTCTCATGGCACCTTCGTGGTGATATTCATCTCTGTGCACCCACAGGAGCAAACGGCTCTGAAGTGGAGGGGCAAGCTCTGCCCTGCTTACACCCAATGGGATCTGAGGCCATTACCTTTCTGCTCTGGGCCTCAGTCTCCCCATCTGTAAAAGAGGAGAGGTGCCAGACTAGCTCCAGAGCCAGGGTCCTCTGATTCTCAGCCACTTCACTTTCATGGGCCTCGGTTTCCTCAACTGTAAAACGAGGGGGTTGAACTCTTGGGCCTCTGGGGTCATCTTTATTTCTGGATTTTTGATGCTATGATTGACTTAGCCAGGTCACTTCATTTCACAGACTGCTGCTGAACACACTCTGAGGACGGGGACACGCCAAGCGATTCTGCGTCAGCAGAGAGAGTCACCATCCTGACTTTCCTCAGAACCATCCGCCACTCTCGCTAAGGCATCTCTGAGGGCTTTCCTTGATAAGTAAGTACAAAAGGTGCCCCCCCATACCCTAACTGCATTTTAGAAATCCAAGTACCCTTGTTGCACAACACTTTTTCCTCCAACCCCCAGTTGTATATTTGCAAGTTAAGAAATGAGTTAATATTTTTAAAACGCCATCGAGGCCCACCATTCATCAGCACCCACAGAAGTGCTGGGTGCTTGGCACAGTTTACATGTAGTGAAGTTGTGGAGAAGTGGGGAGGGGGATGCTTGGTGGTTTTGTTTTGGGCTGCTGGTACCAGCAGTCAAAATGGTAACGATGTCAATGCCATCAAAAGTTCACAAACTCCCCCAAAGGATCGTAATTCAGTCAGGGCTGAGGGCAGAGACAGACACATGGCCCACCTCCCGGATCAGCGCCTATGCAACCAGGGGCTGTTCAGTGGAGAGTTCTGGCTTTGGGAGGCAGGACGGTGTGGGTTTGAATCTCCCCCAGCTAAGCCTCAACCTCTCTGTCAGCATCCTCATTTGTAAAATGGGGACATTAACAGCGCTTCCTTCCTGGGGCTGCTGTGAGGGTCAATCAAGATAGCGTACAAAATGCTGCGCAAACCTCAAAGTGCTCTGTGTGGGTTGGACGTTATGCACAGACTGATGGGCTAGGAGCTAGACCTGCATTTAAACTCTCCTGCTGCCACTCCCTACCTGCATGCCCAGGCGAGCCCCAACTTCTCAGGGCTTGGATTACACCACCTCCGAGGTTCCTTCTGACCCCCCATCTCTGGGCTTAGGATCCTGTTAGTAGCCCAAACTACTAACTCCTCACTCCCTCCTCTCCATTACTTTTATTTTTAAATCTCTGATTTCCTCCAGAACTCTGCTCAAATGACATTTCCTCCCTCGAGCTTTTCCTGCTGCCTCCCCTGCCCCACTGCTAGTGTCTGCCCTCTGAAAATCACCTTGTATTTATTTTTTACATACTTATCCATGGGCACATTATCTCCCCTAGTAGAATGGAAGCTTCCTGAGGACAAGAACCATTTCCTTTTCATCTCTGCATTCCCAACACTCAGCATGGTACTTAGCTCCTAGCAGGTGCTTGATAAATGCTTAAGTGATCCATTCAAGTCTGCTACAGTTAAGTAGTGTGGTTTTGTTGCGTGCTTGCCCTCCTGTGCGGCAGCCAGGTAACCAGAGAGATGGGCCACCCCGAGGAGCTCAGTGAGATTTTAGCAGTGAGACCCATCTATCTATGGCTTCTATTTAGGCGGCATCCAGGACCCACAGCTGCAAACAGAGTGCAACATAACCAGCCGACAACTTACTTTAATTCTTTCTTCACTTCTTCATAATCAGCCTGTCCTTTCAGTTTTTCTTCCAGTTGCTAAAAGAGACAGAAGAAAGGAACTTTACTTTCAGCAAAGTTGGAGGAGAGCGCATTGGTGAGGATCAGGAACGCGCTGGACAAGAAAACAAACGCCTGCCAGAGGCAGCAGAGAAGGCAGTGGGCTCATCTCATGCTCTTCTCTGTCACTTATCTGGTCTGTTTTGCAGACTGCAAAAATGAACGCCGATCCATCCCTCCCATCAAGCCTGACCCACAAAACATGGCATCCTAACATAAGAGTGAACAGAGGTAGGAAAATGAGGTGTGGGGAGGGGATCACAAATGAGAAAAGCTATTTTAAGCGAATAATAAAAATAAAATCTAAAAGTACAGAGTCTTAGATCAGAGGCCACTTAGACTGGGGCTTCTTAACCTTTCTGTGTGTACTGGACCCGTCTGGCAGTCTGGCAAAGCCTGAAGACCCCTTCGCAAAGTGTTTTTAAATATTTGAAGGAAATGCTAAATTTCAGGTAGAGGTGAATGAAGATAAAGATTTAATTTCTTTCCCCATCCAAATTCATGGACCTCCAACAGAAGCTAACAACTTCTGATCAAGACCGGCTCACACTTGAATCAGAAACCTCCCCTGCAGTCGGCCTGATCAGTGGCTATTCAGGCGTTGCCTAAAGGTCTTCACTGATGAGAAGCTCGCTGCCCACCAAAGCTGCCCGTTTCAGCTTTGGACAGCTCCTACTCATCAGGGACTTCTCTCTTCTACCAAACCCTAATCTGTCTTGCTGGAATTTCTACCCATGCAATCCATCAACACGCACTGAGTACGCACCTACTGTTTGCCAGGCACTGGCTGACGCTCTTGGTGCTGTCCTCTGGACACTATCCAGTTGGTGGAAGGAGACCTGGCACAGAAGCCCTATCCCCCAGCATGGTACCAAGATCACTCCAGTGCCAGCTTCTGCAAGAAGCCTTTCCGGGTCCTCCTTGATGCTAGGGCCACCCCTCAGAGAAACCTCCTATCCACCCTGTCTGTATCTTGTTGGTACGCATTGCTTGCTTGCTGTCTCCCTAACAAGACTATGAATTTCTTGAGAGCAGGAGTGGCTTTGTACCTTTCCGGCACACAGCACACAGCACTAAATAACTGTTTATTGACTTCATAAATACTTGAGTTGGCAGACTTGAGTTCAAATTCTGCCCTTGGACGCTGACTACTTTTGTGACCCTGCACAAATCTCTTCATTCCCCAGGGCCTCACATTCCTCACCTGTAATATGAGGGGGCTAGATCAGACAGCCTCGGGGGTCCCTTTTAAGTCTACAACAAGACTCCTGCCATGGCATATGCTGACTCATAGGGTTCACTCTGATCCCCAGGTCCTTTTCTCCCAAAGCACTTTATCCTCTTGTTTTTGTACTGCCAATCTTTGGAATCCAAATGTAAGTTTTTCCTGTTACCTTTAGTAAATGTCATCTTGTGAGACCTCACCCACCTTCAAAGGCTCTCCCAATATCTGGATTCCTGATTCTTTCTTCTAATTTTTTGCCTCGACTTAGCTTTCTGTCATTTGTACAGATGAGATGTGTCAGGAGTAGACTGTTTCACCCTTTATGTCTGTGATCCCAGAGCCTGGCACACAGAAGGTACTTTAGTAAATGTGTTTTGATTGGCTGTGTATCCCATTTTTGCCTGTATTTAAGCTGTTAATGGTCCAGAATTTAATTTAACTGAACAAACCCCTAAAAATGGACTAGAACGTGCAATACGAACTAGAGTGAGGCCCGCTGCTGGGCCTCAAAGAGCTTAAAATCTAGCACAGAGATAAGATATGTGGAGAAGTAAAATTCATACACAACGGAGTGAGCTCAGGGCACAGAAAAGCTCAAAAGGCTTGGCCAGCTCACTCTCAACCAGAGTCAATGGCTCTGACTCCAGGTCTATCAACAAGAGATCCACTTTCTTCACACGGGTTCTCATTAAAAAGCTTTCCTGCCCTTTTATAACCCTCCCACATACCGGATCGTATGACAGAGTTAGGGCTGGAAGGGGCCCCTTACAGGTCATCGAGTCTGAGGAAACCAAGGCCAGAGGGGGCAAATGTTTGGGCCACGTCACTGGTGGGTAAGTGGCAGAGCCAGGATTCATCTGCAGGACCCCCACAGCTTCTAAAAAGCCCCAGGAGGCCGCCCTAAACAAGCCAGAGTCTCCTCAGGGTTGGATTTCTGAACGTCCTTATTCTGGTTCCTCCCCAAGTGGCCCCCACTGATCTGTTTATCTCCTAAATCTCTTAGGAAAAGGAAAGGAGCCCTTGACCCATCAGGCCCACCATGTCACAGTCCTAATGTCCCAGCTGCTCTGAATACACGGAGGCCACTTATTTAAATGGCCTTTTCTTGTAGTTTATTGCGCATTTCTTTTTGCGTGAAGTGGTTCTATCCTAGTTCTTTTTAGACCCTTCCTGCCAAATGTATAGATTATAATGCTGATTTCAGTTATAATTAAATAGAGCGAGGCTTCATTAGCCTACAAAAGCTTCACAGAAGGTGTTCATAAAAAAGTGATTATTTCATCCTTTCCCTGGGGCCTCCAAGGGCAGGGAGGGCTGAGATGCTGCATTTTCTGAGACTGGGTTACCCAGAGTTACTGGGATGGACTTGAGATTCTGGAGCTCACGGCTGCAGGACATTAGAGAAAACCGGCTGGTCTAACACAATCAGAGGAATGAAAATGGCCAGGGGCTGCCAAGTTCCTACCACACATGGCACCTAATTCGAATAATAGTAAGCATTTATATAGAGCTTTAAGATTTAAAGAATGCTTCACAAATATGATCTTCCCAATCTTCTTGGAAAGTGCTGTTATTATCCCCATTTTACAGATGAAGAAATAGAGGCAGACAGAGGCTAAGGGACTTGCGTAGGGTCAGAGAGCTAATGTGTGCTTTTGAGGCCAGGGCTGTGATCAAGGGAGACTGGAAATTGGCTTTCAGGAGAATCTGAATCCCTCCTTGGAAATCTCTGACGACTTAACTCATCTAAGCCTAAGAAATGCCAGATGGCACTTTGTTGAGGCGGGCAGAGGCTTGGGGGGCTCCCATTCAGGGGAAGTCGGCCCCTTCGAGTCTGTCTCTGATCTTCGTAGACCCGTCCAGCACCTTTCTCATTTTGCCAATTAACTCGCAAAGCAGACCTCCCTGGAGACCCCCTTCGGCCAGGAAGGGACACGTCCACATGGCATCACGTCTTTATAGACAGTTCTCTCACCGATGGGAAGCAGCAGAAGGGCAAGGGGGGGCGGGGGCGCCCAAGGCCTGTGAGAGGTGCAGGGCACAGACCGCGGAGGGCCTCATCCCGTGACACCACGTCACGATCACAAGAGGCGCTCGTGCTCTGGAAGCCAAGGCTCCTGGAACCAAAGAGCCAGGGCGGGAAGGAAGGCACGGTCCCACGTGCTTTACAAATGTCCTCTCCTGAGAGGTGCCTTTGTGGTCACCGGAGGGTCAGTGATGTGGGGCCCAGATCTAGAGGGAGACGGGGTCCAGATGGGAGGAGTCGGGGTGAGGGGTCACAGTCAGAGGCAGGAAAGGCCAGCTCCAAGGCCCTCCACACCCACGGTAGTGGCAGAAGACGCCTTCACTCTTTGTTCAGACGGATGTCGGAGGGTCTGCTCCATGGAGGAATAACGGAAGCAGTGAGGCACAGAGAGTGCTGGCTTTGGAGTCAGGAAGACTTGGGTTCGGATGCTGCTTCAGACTCATCCTGGCTGTGCCACCTGGACAAATCCCTGGCAGGTGGCAGAAGATGATTCCTCACTGGGATCCCCCCAGACCATTGAAATCACAGGATCCATCTAAAGGGGCATCATGAGGAGGAGTAAAAGGCAGGCCGAGCCTTCAAGAAGCAGGATTTTGTTTGAGAGGCAAAGATGAGACGAAGGGGATGGCATGTTAGGTAGAAGACACAGCAGAGGCAAAGGTACTGAGGTAGGAAAGCAAAGGAACGCTTTGCCCCATTATTTGGTTGTGTCCCCAGAGAGGCTGGTTACAGATGACCACTGAACAACTGCTCAAAGGGCGAGTCAGTATGAAGTGACGTATGGCCCTGAGGAGAGCTCCCACGGTCAGCCCCAGCCTTCCCACGGAATTGATGAGTAGCTCCTCCCAGGAGAGGTGAGTGGCCAACAACTACTCTTGAAAAAGACTGCTACATGCCTTTTAAAAATGGGTTTTATCTTCAACAAGTCCCTAAGAACGTTGCTAAACTCTAGCAGACAGGAATCTATGGATTTCTGCTCATACTAAGTCATAAAAAAGGGCCAGGGGCTGGACATGGGGTTTTACTGGTTTAGGGATGTCCTCCTCCCCGGGTGCAGGGCACCGACAAGTTCAGAGAGTCAGCCAGCCAGGGTCACACCAGCCAGGAGCGGTCAGATTCCAACCTCGAATCACAGGTCAGCTCTGCTCACATCGTGCTGCCCTCTCTTGGACTCACAGGATCACAGAGGCTATCAAATCTCACACCATCATTTTATAGTTAAGGAAACTGAGGCTCAAGGAAATAAAAGGATTCAACCCAGGCAGGATTCAAACTCAGGTCTCCTTGATGCCCAAAACAGTGCTAACCTGTTGCCTCATAAAACATGGAGTTTCAGGGCAGCTAGGTGGCGCAGTGGATAGAGCACCGGCCCTGAAGTCAGGAGGACCTGAGTTCAAATCCGGCCTCAGATCAAACACTTGACACTTACTAGCTGTGTGACCCTGGGCAAGTCACTTAACCCCAACTGACTTAAAAAAAAAAGTTTTGTAGCCTGACTCTGGTGAAATTGTACAAACACAAAGGAGGCAACAGAAAAGCCAGCTATGGGACCCCAATTACCAGGAAGAGGAGAAGCGTGTGTCAAGAATGGGAGAACGACAGGCCAAGAAGGCCCCCTGCTTGACAGACCCTGGCCTTCTGAACAATGGTGCAAACAGGAAGGGGGGACCCTCGCTGAGGAGGCGCTTCACATGCGGGCCCTGAGCTGCCGGGTCCCCCGTGGCTCTT